ACAGGTGTAAGTAAGGAAAATGTTAGTATATGTATAATTTTTAGACAAGAATATTCTAATCTTCTTTTTAGCCAGTTGGAGTGCAACTAACACAATCATGCACTGAACATGTTTTAATCCAATCTATACCTCGCTAGGATTGAAACTCGTCAGTTGGGTGTACGTGCGTTGATGCGTTGATGTTCACCCCGAGATTCGAACTCAGTACCGTTCGTTTGTGAATTAGTAAGAATATTGGGACAATCCGCATGGGATGTTTGTAATCTCAATAGAGACTGGTAGATAATGATCCTAAACATCACCCTGAATATTCAAACAACAATTAAAAATGAATTATCTGGTGTTTAGTAAGTAGGTAAATTTTGACATTAATAAATAAATGGTTGCATCAACCTCGTGGCTTTCGAAGCAACTCGGCTTTTACCATAAGGCGACATAACTCTTCTAAATGAGGACCTTCTAACTCCCAGGGCAGAGTTTAAATGGTTTGAATTATTTTTTTGGTTAGCGTTTTTTAGCGAGTTAGTGTTCTATGGGATGGGGTCGCTAACTCCATGCCAAACCCTCCTCCTTTATCCGGGCTTTAGACCGGCAGTAACCCCAAATGGGCTCCAGGTGGAGTTCACGGAATGAACATCAACTTTGAGATGCAGGTATATCCAGCCGACGAGTCTCAAATAGGACGAAACGCGCGCCCTGTATTCCACTGCCAGCCATTTAAATTTTAACATTATTTATATTTTAAATTCACTATCGTTGAAACACTTTTTAGGGAAGAAACTGAAGCTAGGATACTGGATAAAGCGTTACAGTTAATTCTTATCAAACACACAATCAATTTATATATATAATTTATATTCAGTGAAATAATGTAAATTAGCCAGTGATTTAGCTTCAATGGCCAATGATATATTGAAAAGTCAGCTTTGATAATAATAAAAAATGTTAACATTTTGGTTACGAAATGTATATTTTGGATACACAACAAATCTATTATGTTGTCAAGCATGAAGTTCTAGATCTAGGCTTCATACATCCTGGTAGTTGATAACGCAATACATTTGTAATCTTAAAGGTGTTGATGCAGCTTATGTGACTTAAAATTGCGTCACTCAATGTGTTATGAATGGAATTATTCATGATGTTATTCACAACCATCTCATTATTTTTCGGCAGAATTATATATAGAACTCCAAATTATTAGTAAAATGGAATAATATTTCATTTTACAAGCTCAACAGTATAATACTGATTGCCGTTTTTTTGATAGAGTTTTGTTCTCTGAGCTGAATGGTTTAGTCTTGGAGCTTTCACGACTAAACCATCCAGCTCATAGAACAAAACTCCATCAAAATCATCTACCTCAGCTACAAATCTTCTCAACCACTGATTACTGTTTTTCGTATGTACTACGATCAACAATAAATAACTTCAAATAAAGCCAGAACGAACATGGATGCAGAATAATATGAATTCATTATATTTCATGGTTTCTCATCAGTTGCTTACAACCAAATATGTGTTAAAATTTTACATTGAGGTAAGATATAGTGTGAAACAATTGACATACGTGAATGAAAAGAATTGGAATGACAAAGGTTTTCAATAATAACTATATATATATATATATATATATATATATATATATATATATATATATGTGAAAGAACAGGTCATAGGTCATTTGGTGTTAGAATAAGAAAACATGAGGGGTAGGTGATGTATTAATTAAGTGAAGTTCAGAGACAGATAAGATAAATTTTTTGATAATTTTAGAGGTAATGAAGGGTTTGGACAAGATTTCTGGAATTAAAAAAACCCTGGTAGGATGGGTTGCGTGATAAGTGAACAAGATTTGAAGAGTTTACATAATTTAAGAGAACTGAGGGAGTGGAAATGTATGAGTGAAGGGGTAGTTTAAATGTACGTAAAATAAGAATTCGGTAAAGGAAGAGCAGTATAACAAACTAAACAATAATAAAATAAAACTAATGACCAAAAATTAAATTACCAAGGTAGTAATAAGTTTATTACTGTCTCTTTTTTTAATCGGAATTGCTCCAGCAAACCGAAGAAGTATTTTATTATCCGCTAATAATTTTGAAAGCTTGAGGAATATCAATAGTATGCCCGGTGCCAAGTAAATCCCAAGCTATTGCACTGGTAAGAGCCCATTCCCCTCTCAGTTACTTAATTCTCTTAAATTATGTAAACTCTTCAAATCCTGTTCAATTATTACTACCTGCTTCGGTTTGCGCACTCAGGCAGTATTCCAACCCAGGATATGTGGCGCATATATACTTGATGTCTCCTTATACCAGTGTTTATGTGTTTAAATAAATAAAATAAATAAATCTCTCAAAGTTGATGAACCTATCGAAATATAAGTAAACTGTTCATTAGTTTAAGTACTAGGATTGTTATTTCATAAACTACCTATTAACTGACTGAACTGTTTAGTGTTTTATCAGAGAGTTAGTTTTCTACGGAATAAGGTCGTTAACCCCATGCCCTTTTCTCCTTCTTTATCCGGGCTTCGGACCAGCGGTAGCCCCAGAGGGGTTCCAGTCGGAGTTGATTTGTTGAACCAAACACTACATTATACCTTCAATAATGATATAATCAAGTTTTCAATTATATTGTCATCGAAACAATATTACACTATTTTATAATCAACTACATAATTATTGTGTAAACATGTTATATTTATGTATTAGAAACGTCATTTAAAAATGAATGAAAATAAACATTCAGGCCAAAACTGAATGTTACATGGGTCAAAAAATGTAACACCAAAAAGTTCTTGAACTGATACAACCATAATAATAATAGCTGTATTGTATACCATAGTGATACTAAATCAAGTAATCCATCAACAAAATTCTTTGAATTTAAATAATTTTATTTACTTAGTGCCAGTTGATGTGATCTGACATCATGTGGTGTATGTTACTCATATCTGTAAATATAAGTAGTATATAACGCTAATTAGAAATGGAACGCCTGTTAAAACAAGATTGAGAAGATCTAATTGAATAGAACAGGAATGTAAACAGAGAGTTAATGTAATAACAACAGGAATGTGAGGATGATAAAGTTTGTAATAGATGACTGATTAAAGATGTACAAATGAATTATTTAATGTATGATTTTTGCATTTTACAAAATCACTATGTAATTGTGCGTAAAATAATAAATTAGCTTTCTCCATCATCTTATCGTTCGTTCACTGCAATTATACTGAAATCTGGGTAGTCCTTTTTGGAAAAATAATAATAACTCATCTACTGTCTTGTAGATTACTTTTACGTCAGGTTTTATAAATTCATGAATGGTCTTTCATAACAGAAGGCCTGTGTTGTGATAAGTTTATAGGAAACTCAATCACTCTAACAGTCTTATTTCTGTAACTGTATTAATCAATATCTCAGTGGTACAACGGACAAATGTACGATGATTTGTCTAAAAAAATGTTAATCATTTCATCATCGACTAACTGTCAGTAACAGGTGAAGAGATAAAAAAATGCAACTACTTAAAGACAGGTATACAATTAAAAAAACTATCTATATTTAACAGTAATTGGAAAACAGTTTTCCCCATGTAATAATAACAGTATAACTTCGATTGGAATAAATTTACGCAATATCACTTCGTAGATGTGCTCTCAGTAGTGAACAGTATAATGATGGTACTCCCAATGTTTTAGTGAGCAGCGTAAAATACCGAGTTCTCTTAAATTAAATGTAAAAAGATAGCTCACTGATGATTTTAAATAACGAATTGGCTAGATTTCAAAAAACATATTCTTTTAGCTAAATGACAGAGTGCGCTCTATTAAATTTGATTGTTTTACTGATCTAATCTATGAATTTATGGTTGTTTACTATACTTTCAACAACTGGTGAATCCAATACTACTAACTATCTGAATACTAAGCTTTTAATCCTGAAATACTGGGGGAAAGTTGTCAGCAACCGAGTTCAGAAATATCTGTACTTATACAGTTGTCATTAATCTCATAGAATGATTGCTATACCACATCCTGACTGAATTAAACTTGGAAGAATATACCACTCGAGCCTAGCCTAACAGTTTTGATTATTAATCACTTATGTGGACAGATTTAAAAAGAAGCTTTGACAAAAAACGAAAGCTATTTTTGCGGATGTTATTTCACTTAATTAAAAGTTTGTTAAACACTAACATTCACTTTTGTCCTTAGTTTGTTCTACAAACCATAAGCCTTCGTTTGATCTATGATTAACCGCCATAACCTTTTCTATTCTGAAGCTATTGTAATTTAAACGTAATCTTTCATAGTCTATTTGCTATCTTAATCCCCAGTTTTGGATATAACTGTGTTTTTCTGGTTGTTTGTGCGTTGTGGTCATGTTAGTCATCTATTTATTTATTTATGTACTTTTTTGTACTGATGAAATCGGAGTTATAAATCGTAGTCAGGACTAAATCGAGTAGTATTCCAGTTGACTCGTCTTCTCTCGCGCGCGCTTTTCAAACAATCACGTGCTAGAATAGTTTTCGTCTGTACCCAAGGCAGTTAGTCTCACTTCGGATTTAAGCATACTAGCCTAAAGGTTAAACCAGTCAGTCACATTATCATGGCCTTAATCTAGATTGAGACAAGCTATCTTCTGTATATTAGTGGCTAGACAGATCAAGGACGTAACAATCACAAACTTGAATGTTAGTAGGTCTTTACTTCGACCTTCAGTGGGGTTGTGAGTGTACAGTACTCAAGTGCTCTATATTAATACAAAACTGTCATACAATGCGTTCTATCTTACACTACCGGTCTAAACAATGTTAATCTATGATATAAAAACCTACAGAAAATCATGTTTTTGACTGCTTGGTTCCAGTGAAAGAATGAAAAGATTGTTCGAATTTTTTCCTTAAAAGTCAAACTTTACAATACATACAAGAAAAAAACAAAACAAAACAGAAAAACTGTTATTTAAAGAAAAAAAAGAAGCATAGTTTCGAAATTTTTATTGATTTACATAGAAACAAGAAATTCAAAAAGTCTATAAATTATATAGTTTCTATGATCATATCAAATTAATCAAATTACATATTAGAAATGATACTAAATGAGCAAGTTTTTAAGGAATTAAAACAAAACTGTGAGACTATATTTTATAGATGACCTTGAAGTGACGCTAAAGCGACCCTGACAATGTTCAACAGCACACTACGGTTAAATGAAGGTTATAAACCAGTGTAAAGAATTACGATTATTATTTACAGTTAATAGTTAAGATCAGGATGCAAATATAGGGTTTTTATCATGAACTAATATCAACTATATTGATAAAACTAAATGAAGCTAAATGAATGAATTAATTTCGCGCTAAAATTCAAAACCTGTTATGTTAAATCTGATTGGTTCATTCATAAATTATAATCTCACAGAAAATTGAATATTGAACACTTCACAACTATATCTGTCACTAATCAGATTGTATGATGATCATTATTGAAATAGAATACTCCTCTTTACCCTCGTATATTCTCTGTTAATTATATTTTATATTAACCGCTAAAACAAACACAATTTATGCAAAGTTATACAATATTAAAAATTCAGTTTTATTTTTCTCTTTTCATTGAGATACTACTAATAATATTGTTAGTTTTAATTATTTTAAACAATTAACCTAATAGTAAAATCATTTGAAAATAACATTTATGAACTGTTTACACTGTTTGTTTGTTTGCTTGTGTGTTTGTTTGTTTGTTCACTTGTTTGTTTGTTTGCTTGTTTGTTTGTTTGTTTGTTTGCTTGTTTGTTTGTTTGTTTGGTTGTTTGTTTGTTTGCTTGTTTGCTTGTCTGTTTGTTTGGTTGTTTGCTTGCTTGTTTGTTTGGTTGTTTGTTTGTTTGCTTGGTTGTTTGTTTGCTTGTTGTTTGCTTGTTTGTTTGTTTGTTTGTTTGCTTGTTTGTTTGTTTGTTTGTTTAGTATCAGATCATAGATCAAGGTCAATAGTTTATTAAAACACATTGATCATACGTATTGTCCATGCATATTTCAATATATTTCTATTATCATTATTCATAATTAAATCAGGTAAATTAATAATTACACCATTCATTGTAGTGTTATTCATGATTCGATAAGATAATTGAATACCAGTTAAACTTCCATCTAATAAAGTAAAATTAGATAAATTTGGATGAGCATTAATTGATCGTAAATGTAATTCTCTTTTACAAAATGTTCTTGTTTGTATTGATTGATCATTTATTGTTTCTGTGAAATTGTGACAATATTTATTTGGCCATTTTGTTAAATGTGCATATACAATAGATGGATTTTGTTTCATAGAAGATATTCTATTCAATAAATATAGAGATGGCATTTTCATATATTCATTTATATTCTTATCAATCAATGCAGGTTTATAAGTGTACCTAAAATTAAAAGTAATACAAATAAAGAATTATCAGAATGGGTTTTGTGGAGATTTTTAGAAATTTCACTAGTTGAAATCATGAGTCAATTGAAACACTGGACACACGTTTCGTTCTAGTATGGAACTCCTCTGTAGTGCGTATCCACGATCCGCACCCCCACTTCACGAGATTCGAAAACAGGTTCTATCAGTCTCACACGCGAGTGCCTAGTCATTAGACCACTGAGCCAACCGGCATCTAACAGTGTTACTGTCTAACTTCAACCAATACACGAAATCGAGACGGTGTACACCATTGTCATCATTGAGCTGATATCTCACAACAGACCTGGTTGAAATTCACTGGTCACTGCTTCTCATTAGAACTGCAGGAGTGTCTGTTGAAGTTAGTCACTAGTGAGCAGATGATTATTTTGAGAAGGGGTTTTGTGGAGATTTTAGTGCCTGGGGTGAAACGGGCGTGCAGTGCTTCCATGTTTTCCATGTTGATCTAGCTTCAATTGACTCATGATTTCAATTAGTGAAATAAAGAATTATCATTTCAGGCTAGAATAATAATCATTATTCAAATTGTCTGTAGTAGTAAGACTATAATTTATGGATGATCTTTGAGAGACTTTAGACTGACCTTGAGATTGTCCACCTAATAACTAGCACCAAAGGTGGGCTATAAACTTGTGTAAGGAATTAGAATTATGTTTGATAGTTGATGATCAAGGTTAGATATTAGATTACAGGTTTTCATCATGAACTGACATCAGCTATATTGCCAAAACTATTTAGCCGTTCCGTCTTTCCTAATTCCTGAAAGTGCCGCGTAAAAATGAAAAGGATCTGAAAAACGTGGTGCACTTGTGTAATATACTTCAAATAATTTGATCATACACAGGTATACCAAGACATTTATTTATGAAAAACGTTCAAATTAAATACAAGATTATGTTGTCTATCAAATGAAAATACCACAATGATAATACAATATAGAAAAGATCTAATGTTGTCTTCCAAATGTGTCTTTCAAGATTTTCATAAAATGCTTTGAATAATGTTACAACCTTAACAATTGTGATCTTTTCAATGTTCTTTCTCAATCGAAAGTTATGATTATCTATTCAGTATATTTCTCGGAACATTTAACGGTGACGAATGTTGAACACAAAACTACAACTGGAATAAATGTACAGCAATCCGACGAAACTTTTGATTACAAAAGAAACAAGTCGAAATATTATTCAATACAAATCCCTTATAGATTAAACCAAACATCCTTTCAACAAGTTACTTTTAAAGTTCAAACGAAAGACCATTATGTCCCATGAGAAATTGTCTAGATCAGATTTCCTTCTATGTAAATTCATAAATAAACACTCAAGATATTCTATTATACAATCTGTTACATCAAATCTGTTGAACATAATTAAAATACTTACCAAACAAAATCATAATTTGGTTCTTTTTGAATTCTCCATGGTTGAGTGGCGTAAATACCTTCACCATTTATAGACAACCATTCGCCTAATTGTAATAAACGTTCTTCATAAATAGGTAAAATTGTTCCCCATGAAGTTGGACCAACATTAATGAGAATATTTCCACCAAAAGTAACAGTCTCAATAACTTCAGAAATAAGTTGCTTGAAATTGAAAATTGTGAAAGAATAAATTGGAGAATTTGAGAAAATCATAAAGTTGATGTTATACTTAGAACTTGAATTTTTGCTATACCGCGTACAACTAGTGCACTTAAACTCTTGAACCCTCCAAGTTGCAGTGGTTATTAGTTTGTCCAATCTGGAAGCTTCGCGTCGAGGTTCTGGAATTTTCTTTGGCTCTTTCAGAGCTTTTTAGAGCTTCCTTGAGTTCGCTGAAAGCCGTCCCCACAGTTGGAAAAGACATCATTTGTTAGTATATATCTTACGTGAAATTATCTAAACATTTAATTTTAATGGTATTCCGTATGATTCTAACTACAAACTTAATTTAGATTCATCGTAGATCTATTGTTTTGTTTTCCCACAATAAAAATCACGAGTTAACCAAAACTAATGTGAAAATACTACAATCTGCACAAATCCTCATACTGATAACCATAGATTTAATCCTTGCATCATTTAAAAAGAGTTTGCTCAACCATTCTTGCCATCTTGGCCATCAGTATAAAAGAAAGGTTTTAAATTAACTTTAATTAAACTTTTTTGTTTCCAAAAAATATTCAAATAATTTTGATACATTTTGAACATTTGTTTGAATCTTGTGAGGTGGGATCGTGGGTGCACAGTGGTGTGGAATTCCACAATAGGACGAAATGATCATCCAGTGCTTCCAGGTTTTCCATGGTGATATAGCTTCAATTGACTCATGATCTCAACTATTAAAATTACTATAATATCCATAAAACCCCTTCTGATACTAATCTTACATAACTATTATAATACTTATCTTTCATCAGAATATTTTGTTTGTTCTTATCATATATTATACAATATAGCAACTTTCATACACATAGTTCCCTTTATTATCTTAAATAGAGCAAGAACAAAAACTGGTGCAGAATAATAAATGGATTCATTTTATTTCATTAGGTTATCATCAGCTGCTTACAACCTAAATTATTTGAAATTCAATATTATTACAGATATTGACATATTTATACATAAGAATGTGATTAAGGATCAATACATGGGTATGATGATGTAGCAAAGATTCAGATAGAGTTAGTGAGCTCATAAAATGTTTGATATCTACCTCAGTACAATGGAACGTGGTCGCGCAATTTCGTGGATTGGTTGACGTTAGACATTAACACCATTGGATGTCGGCTCAGTGGTCTAATGGTTAAGTGCTCAGGCGCGAAGACAGTAGGTCCTGGCTTCGAATCCCGCGGGGTGCGGGATCGTGGATGCGCACTGCTGAGGAGTCCCATACTAGGACGAAACGGCCGTCCAGTGCTTCCGGGTTTCCAACGGTGGTCTAACATCAATTAATTCATGATCTCAACCAAAAACATAAATAAATAAAGTTAAAGAGGGAAAGTTCTGGAACATTGAAATAGTGATTAGAACTCATGAAATAGATTAATGGTAATAAAGAAAATATGAATTGAAATCAATCAGTCATGTATGATGTAATTTATACTTCAGAAAGAGTTGCAATAATGATGCAATAAATAAATAAATAGGAGCAAATGAATAGAAAGAGTGGGGGTTATTGTTACCAGGGTAAAGAAAGATTTATTACTGTCTCTTTTTGTATACATAGATCTGGTTTTAAACGTTTGATTGCTAACGCTTCAGCGAATTTCAAAAGGTTGGAGTTTGATTGTTTGTTAATCACCTTGAAGGACTTCAGTATATCAACTTCATGTCCTGTATCAAGGAGATGTCTTGCGATAGCACTGTTGAATGCGTTCAATCCATTTAACCTTAAACTTTTCGGAATATGTTCTTTGAATCGGACGTAGGCTCTCCGTTCTGTTCTACCAATGTAACTGCTTTGGCAGGTACATGTAAATTTGTATACACAGTTGGTGGTAACATGAAAGGGATACCTGTCGACCTTTGATTGTGTCAAAGAACATGTTGTTTTGGACAGGACAATCAATTTCGCTGCAGGATAGGTTCTTGTCAGTGCAGTTTTTAGTCTCATGTTGATTGATCCTGTGACATCGTCACCTTTGAATTGAAGTTGAATAAAAATAGGCTTTTTATTTGCTGTAATTTCTTTCGCTTTTTTATCTTCACATTTGCCGTATTTCTCAATAAATTTCAGTGGGTATCCGTTATTTTTTAAACATTTTATAACATTCATAAATTTCTCTTCTAGTGTATCGGAAGTACATATTCTTTCTGTTCTGTGAAACAGTGTTTTGACCAGTGCCTTTTTGTAACTGATTGGACAAAAGCTATTGAAATTGAGATAACTACCATTCCATCTGTCTTTCTTATAAACTGAAAGTTGAACTGTACCATCTTTTCTTCTTTTCATCGCGATATCGATAAAATGGAACTTGTTTTCTTTTTCATGTTCCATAGTGAAATGGATATTCGGATGTGCTTCGTTGAAAAACTCTAGCAGATTTATTGCATGTTGTTTATTATTACATACGATGAAGGTATCATCAACATACCTCGAATAATATGTCATTTCATCAATCGCTCGTTTGAGTTTGGTTCTTTCGAGGTTAGCCATGAAAATATCTGCTAGGACAGGACCTAACGGACTTCCCATCGCTACACCGTCGGTTTGTTTGTATATGATATCGTTGAACTGGAACTGAACATTTTTTTTACAAATGAGTAATAGTCGTTTGAATTCTGGTACTGGTAGAGGTAGGATGTCAGAATGTTGACAAATTATGTCTATGGTTTCAAGAAGTGATATTTTTGTAAACAAAGATGTTACATCAAAAGAAACCATAAACTTACCAGCAATATTTATGTGATTCATGCTGTCAGCAAATACAAATGAATCCTTTAGTGTATAGGTGGCTAATCGTTGACGCACTGGTTCTAACTTATCTGCAAACCATCGTGCAACTTTGTGGTATGGTGAATTGATCATTGACAAAATAGGTCTAAGAGGATAACCTTGTTTATGTATTTTCGGTAATCCATACATGTGGGGCAAACGAGACCCACGAGGTCGTAGATTATTATAAGTAGAGTTATCGATCATCTTCAATGGAATCAGTTAAGTCTTTGGTACTTTTTTCTAACTTGAATCTCATGTGGTCATTCAAGATGGACTTCACCTTAGAGATATAATCTGTTTTGTTCATTAGAACAACACTTGAGCCTTTGTCTGACCGTAATATCATTATATCGTCATTTCGTTTAAAATTTCGTAATGCTGTTTGGTGGTCTTTGGATGAAATCTTAGACTGTGGTGCGGGTGAAACAAGATATTGGTTTGCAATATCGACTAGTTTAGACTTAAACCAGCCTTTCTTTTCTTCACTAACTGGGTGCAGCTCTTTAATTTGATCAAATAAATTCTCAAATTGAGTTTCTGTGTCGATTCTGTCGGCATGTGTTTTGGGGATATGAAATTTAAATCCAAGTGACAAGGCTTCTGTTTCTATCTGATTTAACTTCTTTGTTGATAGATTGTAGAGAAACTTTTTAGGGTTTTCCGGAAAGCCAAAACACAATCAAAGGTCGACAGGTATCCCTTTCATGTTACCACCAACTGTGTATACAAATTTACATGTACCTGCCAAAGCAGTTACATTGGTAGAACAGAACGGAGAGCCTACGTCCGATTCAAAGAACATATTCCGAAAAGTTTAAGGTTAAATGGGTTGAACGCATTCAACAGTGCTATCGCAAGACATCTCCTTGATACAGGACATGAAGTTGATATACTGAAGTCCTTCAAGGTGATTAACAAACAATCAAATTCCAACCTTTTGAAGTTCGCTGAAGCGTTAGCAATCAAACGTTTAAAACCAGATCTATGTATACAAAAAGAGACAGTAATAAATCTTTCTTTACCCTGGTAACAATAACCCCCACTCTTTCTATTCATTTGCTCCTATTTATTTATTTATTGCATCATTATTGCAACTCTTTCTGAAGTATAAATTACATCATACATGACTGATTGATTTCAATTCATATTTTCTTTATTACCATTAATCTATTTCATGAGTTCTAATCACTATTTCAATGTTCCAGAACTTTCCCTCTTTAACTTTATTTATTTATGTTTTTGGTTGAGATCATGAATTAATTGATGTTAGACCACCGTTGGAAACCCGGAAGCACTGGACGGCCGTTTCGTCCTAGTATGGGACTCCTCAGCAGTGCGCATCCACGATCCCGCACCCCGCGGGATTCGAAGCCAGGACCTACTGTCTTCGCGCCTGAGCACTTAACCATTAGACCACTGAGCCGACATCCAATGGTGTTAATGTCTAACGTCAACCAATCCACGAAATTGCGCGACCACGTTCCATTGTACTGAGGTAGATATCAAACATTTTATGAGCTCACTAACTCTATCTGAATCTTTGCTACATCATCATACCCATGTATTGATCCTTAATCACATTCTTATGTATAAATATGTCAATATCTGTAATAATATTGAATTTCAAATAATTTAGGTTGTAAGCAGCTGATGATAACCTAATGAAATAAAATGAATCCATTTATTATTCTGCACCAATCTTTGTTCTTGCTCTATTTAATATAGCAACTGTTTGATTTCTAAAAAATAATTACTTCGATCATTATAACTATCTTTCTCCAAGTCATTCAATATTATTTTATAATCAATGTGACACTATATATTTATTACGTAACGCAACCACTCGGTGAGTGTTACTTCGCTTACTCGCTTGCTCTCACTATCCTTTTTGTTCGAATTTGCTTGTTGTAATTGTGTCTTTATAATCTGAGCTATAATAAACTGTAATGGGCTCTTCATGTTGCCTTCTGGATTCATACACTGTTGGGATTTATTTATAAACATTTATTAGGGTGATTGATATACGAAGCCTAAAGAAATATCTCGAAGCTATTCCACTACAGTTTATTTGCTTTATTTTGAATTTTAATAGAAATACATAAAAAAATCTTTTATTTGAGTTATAAGGCTTGGTCTCAGGATCAATGGACTGATTTAAAACAACTCAGGCAAGTTAGTTTCAATTTATGCACTAATCGATGTTCTATGTTTCGGTTTCCATGACTTGATAACACCATCTGTTACATCTTTTTCTCAATACTAACTACCAATATGTACAAACAATTAACTAAATACATGGCATGGCACTCATTGTCTTTTGTTGACGACAACTATGTTACTCGAAATGTAGTCGAGTGATATCGAGCATAAATTCTTACTGAAACTTTATAGGAACACGACAACTCTCACTAAATATTGTCAATTACTTGAACTTAGATAAGGCTTAACATGAAGATTCTAGATTAAATTCTTTTTTCAATTCATGAGTGTTTGGTATCAAAGTGTCACATTTTACTGAATAAATTGGAAAAAACAAACAATTTTAAGAAAATTTTTCACTTACTTCTGGTGTTAATATTTTATCTAAAGTTATTTCTCTTCTAAACCCCCATGAACAACAATCTAATGTCATACAATTTTCCCATTTATGTCTCACTAATTTACCAGGATGATAACGATCATCACATGAATAGTAACCTCCATGTTTACATGGGCAACCATTACCCCAACGATCATTTGTAACAACTGTATCTTTTACAGGTGATTCATTATATAACCAAGCAAGAAATTGTGTTGAATTCCAATAAGTATCTGGACCAGCATCACCATCAGACCAAATCACTTCTGGTTTATAACGTAATACTAAATCATATAATTCTGGCATTGTTTTTTGTTCAACAAATGTCTATAAATTCAGACAATATAGATAGGGTTATAATTTATGAAGTAAAAATTAAAAAGTATCTGTGTCTTGTGTTTGAAGGTAGTAAATTAGAAATTCCAAACGTAGATTTCGTGATAGCTGTAGCATATCAATAAAGCAAACTGGGAATTTGGTTGGGACTCAGTTTTACAATCTCAGAAATTACCACTGACCTAGTCATGGTGGTGAGTGACCTTTTCTATGTTAAACGTCCGGAATTTCGGCAACGTTATCAGTTTCCACAAAGTCCTATTACATGTGAACAGTTGATATAAATCATTCAGCATTTGGGTCACACATTCATCTATACAATTACCATAGGTATTCAAATTTCTTTATAACTATTAAGAATGAATTAAATTTTATCTATCTATTTGCATACTGTAGACTGTTGCATATTTTAACCTCTTATCTCACTAAACTTGGTAGACAGGCACATGAATAGAGAAACACAGTTTTAAAATATTAATCAATTCACTTTGTTTCACAGATACATTTGGTTCAACTTTCAATCTCATTGGTATGACTGCGTACAACTAAACCCAGTTTTACCCGAGAATTAATTTCGGTTAAGTATTTAAATGGTATCCATATACAAGTTACCTTAAAATATCATTTGTTGCCCTCATAAATTATTATAATAGAAGAATAAAACATAACTACTTAGTAACTAAAATTGCTGAGATGATAAAATCAATACGTTCCAAATTCAATGTTAACAAATGCTGAGGAGTCCCACAATAGGATGAAACGGCCGTCCAGTGATTCCAGGTTTTCTACGGTGGTCTAGTTTCAATTGACTCATGATCTTAACCATTGAATTATTTCCAATAAATTTCAGTTGATTTCATTGAATTTCTTATACATCTATTCTTATCTGTGCACATCAATAAGGTATTCTGCTTTCTATAAATCTATTGATTTTACCCAATATGAATATTAATTACATTGAATATGACTATATAACTATATAACTGAGATGACACAGAATAATAATTAATCAATAAAAATGTGTACACGATACATGAACATATTTGTTTCAATAAACTTGTAGATTAATTCATATTAAATACCATTTGGATAAGAGATACTTTCTATCTTGAATCGATACCATTGAAAACTCTGTAATATTAGTCTATAAATTTTATTTCATTTTGGGAATCCTCATTGGTACATTTCTAAGATCTCACACAAGATTGAACCCAATACATTCAAGTCTTTCAGCTGGGACGTTACCAGCCACTATTAATTCCGGTCACTGAGTTGAAATCAGACAGTGTGGTTAATCTGATACATAGCTCAATCATAATCCAATGGTATTGGTAACAAAATATGCCTTAATTCACAAATCAACATCCCCTTTCACTATAATTTTGGGAATTTACCCCAAAGTTAATCAGTGGGTGCATATAAGTGTTTAGTTAGATAAGTAGTTATGGCGTGTTGTCCATGTTGGAAATAGTTCTGCTATTGGATCGACATCAAGTGACGATGAGAGAGAGATTAATATATAGCCATTTCATCTCAATGAGAAACATCTCAGTAGTAAGCAGTTAAAACGCTACTTCCGACCAAACATATAAAATATAGGTCCCATAGCGAGTTCATATATCTACATGATTAAAATGAAATTCAATAGTTTTAATTAACTATTTGTATGTGTTTTCTCAAAATTCACTACGTAAATCCCGCAATCTTAACTGCATATTGTTGAATAAAAAAATATAATCGAAGAACTATGTATGTTTAAGAACATTTGTTTTTCAGACGTGATCAAGATTAGAAATTTGTCTTTGAAGTGCGTAGGAACTAAAAGTTAACGATGTTACCATATATTATTTCGATAAGTCCACTAAATACATATAAAAAAACGTTTACCCAATCATGAATTGATCGATATTAGACCACCATTGAAAATCTGGAAGCACTGAGTGGCCGTTTCGTCCTAGTATGATGGTCTTTAATAGTACGCATTCACGATCCGCAACGTGGGATTAGAACCCAGGACATTAGGTTTCGCGCGTAAATGCTGTAAATATCCACACATGAGATATAAACTAGTAGTTTTATTGTAATGGAGTTTGATAGAACTCTGTCATCTTAACATTTTATTACTTTACATAAAATGACCAGTATTGTTTAGCTAGATCTAAAGAAAAACCCAGAATCATTTGCTTAATACGTAAAGTTTTAATGAAAAACAAAAAAATGAATAATGAATCAACTCACTTGTGTTGTAAAGTTATTTTCTTTATCGTACAAATATAATGGATTAAACCATTCAAATAAGGAATGATAGACACCAAATCTTAATTTAGTTCTTTTACGAATGGATGTGGCCAAATCACCGACCAAATCACGATTTGGACCAATATCCATTGAATTCCATTGCCATGAACTAATAGACGGCCAATTACAAAAACCTTCATGGTGTTTCGCAGTAAGTACTACATAACGTGCTCCTGATTTCTGAAATAAATCAGCCCATTTATCAGGTTCGAAAAATTCCGCATGAAATTGTTTTGCAAAATTAGCATATGCAAAATCTGGTTCATAATATTTACGCATATATTCCGGTATTTCAGGCATTATTGTTTTGTCACCTTGCCACATCCACCAAAACCATTCAGTCCTGTAGTGTGAGAGAAAAAGGGAAAAAAGTACCATGAAAACCAATCAAATGTCACTCACAGTGTGACCTATATCATTCAACGACTTTATTTAGAAAATCATTATGAACAATAAATTGCTGTACAGTGAATTATTTCGAGTAATAGTTACTCCAACAGAGTCAATCCATGACTCCACTAAGGTTCAAGGCCAGGCCTTTTAACTCGAGCAGTGCGTTCAGTGGGTTTGAACGAATTGTCCTACATTTCCAGCTTAAAGTAATTGATGATTTAACATCGTCAAAATCCAATTGTGTTATGAAACAGGTGGAGTCTTCAACCATGCCTAGAGTGCATCCAGCATCACTGATGTTATTAGATGATCTTAATGTTCCTACCTAAACTCAACTGAATTAAAAATGTGAACCTTTACCTTTTCACTTCGTGGTTAAAGTTTAAATTCTCACCTGATGAACATAATGTTCAAACTTCAAACTAATGTTGTATAGTAAGTATGCGCTACTAAACTATATACTGGTACAAAATAGACATTTACTCCTTTCTGATTTTGACCAGCATCACTAGTGGTTCCAGTAAATGATGAAAACCAACTACTGGTTAAAATAATCGGCACAAAATCTTCCAAGTACATTCATGGGAGTATAACTGCTAAGATATTTATTACACTTCATTCCCTCGAATATAGCAAGAACGAAGAATTGAGCAGGGTAACATGAATCCATTTTTTATTTCGTTAAATTCTCATCAGCTACTTACAACCTATAATATCAAAACTATTATAAAGTTTACATATTTCTAACAATAAAATTGGCCATGTATCATCATGATACAGTAATCACATCAAAGATATATAAAAAGTATTGTAAATCAATATAATATGCAATAGCAGATTCTTAATCATCAGACATAACAACAAGGGATCAAAGCGATAAAATAATAGTTTAATTATGTAATGAAGGGGTTGAACAAAAATTGTATTGATTAGAAGAACATGAGTTGAGATCAGACAATTAAGAAGCCATATAGTCAAAATAAGAGAGAGAAAAATCCTAAGAATGGTGTAAAAAACTGACGATAAAGTCACCATGGTAAAGAAAGATTTACAACTGCATCATATTGTATACATAAGTCCCGCTTGAGGCATTTAATGGCTATGATTCCAGTGAATTTGAGAAGAGTGATACTGAGTTGTTTATTGATGATCCTGAACGATCTCAGTTTATCAACCTGTGTCACAGTAATGTTTTGCATTAGTACTGATGAAGGTCTCTAATCCTATTTACCTGGGGCTTTTCGGAATCGAACGTAGGCTCTTCATTCTGTTCTATTGATGTGACTGCTTTGACAGTTACGTGTAACAGTTATCGGTAACATGAAAGGGTTACTTAATGAATTTTGATTGAAGTAAATAACATATTGTTTTATGCATGACAGTCAGCTTAGCTGCGCGATACGTTCTGGTCAGTATTTTTTTAAAATCTTCTGTCTATTGCCACCTCAATATCGTCACCTCTGAGTCTAAGTTAGATGAAAAAAACGTTTTTTTCGTCTACTTTGGTTTCTTTAGATGTTTTATCGTTACTTTTGCCAAATTTAATAGTTAAATTCTTTGAATACTTGTTATTCCTTAAAAGTCTTTTAAACATTCATTAATTCTGCTTCTTCAGACTCTTTAACCCACTTAATTATTGAATCGAAATGGTCACCTAATGTAAAATATAAAACCATTTCAATTAACAAAATAAACTGTTATCATTTATAAATGACTATATTTAGCTATATGGAAATCTACATATTTATATCATTTTAGTATCAATTAACATCATGAAAATCAACCAGTGATCAGTCAATTGTGATTACATCTCAGTCCTACAGGAGGTCGGTCGCGGCTCGGATAGCTCAGTGGTAACGTCTCTGACTGTGAAGCTGGGTGACTTGAGATCGAATCCGCCAGGGAGCACCAGTTCCCTCAAGATTACAGGTATACCTTGCTGACGAGTGCCAAGTAGCACAAAACCCGGGTCCAGGGTTTCCTGTCAACTACCTCCAACCACCATCTAATCTCAATATATATAATGCCTGCAGTGTCGAGTCACCTAGACTGGTGGCCATATTGCAACATGATCGATAGCATTCGATCTGCACTAATCAGGACTAGACAAGCATGACATTGATCACCACCCAGTGATCAATCAATTGTGAAAATTAACAATTACTATTCTTCATTACTAATGGATGGAATTAAAAACCATAAGTAACATGAAAACTAATTCAACCAATCTACATAATTTTAGTTGTGATTTTTTGAAATAATTCTGCAAGTTGATATAAACATAGAGTTTTAAGTTGTCAAGGTAACATGTCTGTTGGACTCTAGATTATCATATTTATTGAATAATAAATGACTTGCCAGTATATTTGAAACCAGAAAGGTTGAATTATATTTATATATTCTATCGGTTACTCCATATTGAAGAATAGATTTAAGTGAATAAATTATCTATAATTAAGTTGAACAAGTTAATAGTTGTCTAACTAGTCAGTTCATATCGTGAAACTATAAATTTTACAATCTGAATAACTTTATATTAATATAACTCGTCATGTGCTTACTAACAACCAACCTTGAAGGCTAATTACCAGAGTTCCAATGAGAAACCATAGTCATTTAAGTTCACCTAAAGACCAACCATGATAATGAATAAAAGTCGTACTATAATTACTGAAGTTTGAAATGTTTAACCAATCATCTAACAGTTAGGGGCTTTTAACAAAGTCCGATTGTCATGGATTTCATCTCAAGTGGATTTCATAGCAAGAAATAAAGTTCCCGTGTTTGATCCCTGGTGAGATTTTGGATGTTTATTGATGAAGAACCCAATATCAAGATGAGAAAGTTATCCAATGCTTTCTAACTTGCAATAGTTTTCTAATTAATATCAGTCAGTGATGTAGACTACAAAATTCAATAATCTTCAAAACCCCATATTCAAATAATACTAATAAGTTCACTTGGTATTGATTGTTTGAATCTTCCCATTGATGTTTAGGACTGAAATTGATCAGTCTGTTATTGGCACATGCGCATACTGTGCGTATTGCCTCGATATAACTTTAATTCACAAGCATTATATGCGAAGATGGATAATGGCTATCAGAGGAATCCAGGAATCGCGTTTCATCCTATTTGTAGTTCTAAACATCAATGGGAAGATTCAAACAAACAATATAAAATAAATCTCAACTTCACCCCATTGCATAAGCAAGTGACTATCATAACTCAGTAGCTAAGTGAATAACGCGATGACATTTAAAGCAAACGATACTGAGTTAGAATCCCACAGTGAACATCAACTCTGAGATACAGATACATCCATCTGACGAGCCCCAAACAGGACGAAATGCGTGTCCTGAATTCCGCTACTAGCTACTATCCATCTTTGTATATAAATAGTAATAAGGTTACAAAGAGTTACATCAAACTTATTATTTAATAGTATACTGGTTAAGTGACATACATGCAAACAATTATCTTTTTAAGTGGTTTATAAGCATTCATACATTCATGTGAATTTATTGAAACCAATATTAGTATGGAATTAAGATTGATAAAATTACAAATACACCAGACTATTTATTATAAGATTAAATAATCAATAAATAATAATAATAATCAAATCAATAATTAAGTTCCTAGACGTAGTAGCCATAGATTTAAATGATATTGTCAAGTTATAACTGTGTCAATCAATAATCAGCTGATATGAAGAAAAGCATTATTCAAAATGAAAGGAATGAATATTGAATGATTGTTTTATCTTTTCTACAAAAATAAACTGTGTTAGTAAACCAGAGATTTGGCAGTCATGTTAATCTAATTAATGTCACCATCTTGAAATATCGGCTACGGTAACTCAGATATATGCTACGAATGAACATTATACATTACATCTCAACCCTAGAACTAGTTGGTAAAAGAGGAGAGGTGGTCAGTATATGAAATGCCGCCATAGTATGAAAGAAAACTTTATAGAACTGGTATCTGTTGGTCCTTCAAGACTCTCTGGTTGGGGTGCTAAAGATAGTGCAGCACAATAGCCTGAGGAGTTATCAGATATGATTCAGGATAGAAGCCAGTAGATATCCTGATGTAATTTTCTTCATATAAGTCAGCAGAAATTTATTGTTGTTGATAAGATTCTTTCTATTTGTGGACTGCTTCTTCCATAATTCGTTACTGTCATTCACTTGTTTTTATTCATTTATTGCTTTTTATTATACTCCCCTTCCTTCATCTACCTCTTCATAATCGCACTTTTTCATTAAATAGTGCATAGTTATTTTATTCTCCATAATTACCGATAGTTATGTATTCGAACAAATAAACAAATATGGGATGAGGTTGCTAACCCCATGCCCAACCCTCCTCCTTCATCCGGGCTTGGGGTCGGAAGTAGCCTCAGAGGGGTTCCAGGCGAAGTTAAGTGACCAGTACTACAGATTCATAAATGCACCATTATTGAATGCTCAGTTGAACCCTTCAGTTAAATAATTAAGTGTTTTTTGAATTTATTAAAGTTAAGTGACTTCTTGTCTAAAATATGTATAAAACTTTAATTTAAAAACTGAGAAATTCACTGTGATTTACAGTCTACACCAGATATGACATACATTTCAAATTCCACTCACTAAGTCTACAATTCAAAGACCTATCATTAAGCTTAATTAAAAAGTAATTTAATAATGATAACTAGCTTGAAGAAATATTCTCACCATCTTCTAAGTGTGGATTCTTCACTTTCATAGAATATTTTTGGAAGACTAAAAGACATAATTAGATTGATTTGTAATTCAACGATGTTAGTCACTATTGAATTATGCACGAATTATTTAACTTAAAAGTGTACACTACCAAATAAATCAAGAAAGTTTACACAGTATTTTAATCTGAATGAGTCCATGGTACTTTTCTTATTAGAATTACAATAAACGGATAACTTCCATTGATATGTTTCATAGTAAAAAGGTTAGCTTGAGTAAAATAGTTGCAATAATCGGGCATCCGTTAGTAGCTAGTATCATATAACCTATTCCACAAAACATGACCCACGACCTTATTAAGAATCTAACTAAAGACATTCAATCATCATGAGAAGCACCGATCGTTTAAACCTCTGTCTTGCCATCCTATTGTTCATATTTCTACCTTCAATCCGTTATCGATATTACACCACTGTCATACGTCATCAATTCAATAGCTGCCTGACTAAAGACAATTTGTAATCAAAAACTAGAAAGTCGAAAGGTCTCAACGATCCCTTATACTAAAAACTATTGTTTATTGGAAAATTACTGTTAAACATAGTTCATATTACATTTACAGAAACATTTTACGCCAGTTTAGAGTTTGTATGAAGATATATTAGTTAGAACTTATGAATATTTTCACAGTTGGATTCACGAATCAATCTAAGCTAGACCACTAATGAAACATACTGATAATAATCATGTGCTCAAGACGAGTTTCCTGGAGTTCTAATGAGAAGCCGCGACCAGTGGAGTCCAATTCTTGTCGGGTAGAAACATTTATCCACCTCAGATGATAGATGAAGAATTGCACACGATCGTGGATCGATTGAAGTTAGAAAATAAAACTGTCGAATCCCGGCTCAGTGGTCTAAAGGTGATATACAATGTCGATACATGTTCATAACAACTTTCAACCAACCTGATTAGTATATTCATCTTCAACCGATTGAGATGAATCTAACTATATATACAATTAGTACATGTTATTCTACTGTCCAAAATTTTATTTTTGTCCTCTCGAAGATAATAATGGGAACTGTACACATGACATTTCTTATCAGTAGATTAATGAGAACTCATTCATATTTTTTCTCCCGATATAACATCAATACGTAATATAAAAAAACTTTTTAAGAAATGTCTTTTAACCGTTCTATTTGTTATATATGGACGAAGAATAGATGAGTGGTAACTGCTAGGATCCATTTATAGACTGTTGTTATATATGTATATATTCTTATTGGATAACAATTAAGTAACTATGTTATATGTATATTCATATTTCTTTTATCATAAGCTTCCGTTTGACCATTTCACTACTAATATACGATTTACTGTATCTAAGTTATTCTTAATTTCTTAGTTACAATATCTCACACTCACAGCCACTTTCGACTTGATCTAGTATATGAATGTTATTTTCTATTCTCTGGTATGATGCAGTCTGATTTGCTTGTATATGTATTGCTTATGTTTGATGTACATGATTCATATATCGTAGGCTGATATTGGTGTTCTAGACTCAAACGGGAACTTCTAGGCCAGAGGAACCAATAATAACTCAGAGTTGACTCTAGGCTGCTCATACTGGTTAGTGCATCATTGGTCTGCTCCTACAAATTGGTGTTTTTATTGGCGATTTAGTCACGTAATATATTAACAGGCCATACAGACATAACACTATTCATAGCTACCTTTTTTCACAGCACCATTATTGGCATAACTAAATTTCATACTACTTCTAAATGTATAAAAATTACACTAGTTTAAATCATGAGTCAATTGAAGCTAGACCACCAGGGAAAACCTGGAAACACTGGATGGCCGTTTCGCCCTAGTACGGAACTTCTCAGCAATGCGCATCCACAATCCAGCCCCCCGCAAGATTCGTACCTTGAACCTATCAGTCTCGCGCACAAGGGCTTGATCATTAAACCATTGAGCCGTCATCAAACGTTGTTAATGTCTAACTTCAACCCATTCATGAAATTGCGCCACCATACACCATTGTCTTCAGTGAGCTGATATCTCACAATAGACCTGGTTGAATTAGCTATGAAATTACCATCCAAAACACATTATAATATCGCCAACTCTATAACAATAATTCATTATCAACAGAGATACATTAAAATAAGTTTGATCTAAACTAAACTAAATATATAAATCCTTTCATTATTGAATGTTTATAATAATTTCCATGAATTACTTACCTATAACTAGGTACAGAAAATACACCCCAATGTATAAATATACCAATTTTAGCTTCATCATACCAACTTGGTAATGGACGTTTATCTAATGAATTCCAATTCGGTTCATAAATAATTGATTGATTTATTGATTTTGAATCGATATTACAATTGATTTTAATAATATAATAAATCAATATAAATGGTATATGATAAAAGAATTTGTTCATAATTTGTTTTATCATAAAGTTGTAATGTATTACACTAACATGATTTCATATTTATGGCATAGAATAATAATGATGTAGCCAATACACTCATTGTAATAGAAATCATTGAATGAGATTGGATCATTTTATACTAACCTTGTTAATGGTCATATTGAAATGAATTGAATATCATGAAAATCTTTATACATGTGATGTGAAGTTAGTTTAATATTGTTAACTGTTTTTGAATAAATATATATTATAAATTATGATTTGAACTAAGCATTTTAATAAACAAAACATTATAGTATGATGTCGCTTAATTATATCCGTATAAGTAGTATATAACCGTGGTTGGGTATAGAATGTATTTCAGTAGAAGATCGATAAGGAAAGAAAACGGAAACGGAGCGCAATTAATATGTAAATGTATGAACAATGAAATCCGAGACAATGGACTGATATTTGCAAAAGGAACAATGAAGTTTGAGACGATGGATTAATATTTTGCAAATTAACTATTTGCTATATAGTTCTTAGATTTTATTGAGATACTCTGTAATATCGTGTCAAATATATTCGATTGTCCCTACTGATGTTCTTGTTCACTATTGTAGCAGTATGGTATGTGCTAATGATACCGGCAGATATAAGTAGTATGTATCGTTAATCAAAAATGAAATGTCTAGAGGTAGATGGTTAAGAAGATCGGAAGAAAAGAGGACGAGAACAAAGAATGATTGATATTAGAACGAAAGAACAATGAAGTTCGAGACAGTTGATTGACATTTTGCAGAAGGAACAGTCAAGTTTGAAATAATTGATTGACAGTTTGAAAATTAAGTATTTACTATATGGATCACAGATTTTACTAAGATGTTCTGTAATACATTTGATTATCTCCACTTGTGTTCTCGTTCACTACAATAATGGTAAAATTACTAGTACAGGGTTTTATGAGTTCATAGAATTTTCGTGGATTTTCTATTACAAATTGAACTTAGTTCGACCACCATTTAATAATTATAAGCACTGAACAACCGTTCTGCCTTAATTTTAGGGTTTTGAGTAAGGGCATCAGAAACCGTATTCAAGATTTTTGGTCTTGTGCGTAATACGGGTGTACAATCCTTACAGTTTTCCAATGGACATCTAATTAATATTAGTTTGTGATATAAAATCCATGAAAACAATGTCAGCCAGTCAGTAACACCGTAGAACTTCGGACGTACGTACGTACATCAGTTCGAGTTGCCATACCACATTAGCACAGAGATGCAGTTGTCAATTCAAATCCCGTAGTGGTAGAGGTAGTAAGAGTATAAGCAGTAATCGGAAAGATTGGGGTTCGAAGATGTTATTTAAAGAGTATAATCCAGTGAAATAAATTTGGAAAGAGATAAAAAGGGACAATGAGGATTCAGGAGATTAAAATTTGGGAGAACACAAAGAGTGGATGCACCCGTGCCATTGCAAACGATTTTGAGCCGTGTCATTCATGTTAACGAAGCATCAACAGAGATGTTGAAACAATGATAATTTTAACACCGACAATGATATTTAAATTTCACTTTTTGAAAATACATACGCGGAAAGGTTCCTATGTGTATTAGTCAAATAAGGCTATTTCATAGTTAATATTACCACTGATTTAGTGACCTTAAGGTAAGAGATTAAACATATTTCTTTAGAACATGTTAGTCATGTTTTTTAATCTGAATAGTTTCTGTTTGCTCCGTTTAGAGAACGTTTTTGTCTGACTGACTTGGGTAGAAGTTTACCAACCCCATGAATTATTAGAAATTCTTGATTATGATCAGCTTGCATTAAATAAGCTAATATTGAGGTGGTTGCCGTGTTCACAGCCTCTTTGCTCAGCCATGATGAAAGGTATTCATGATTATGACCTTTGAACGACATGACGTGTTTCATAAGAGCATAGAACTTATGAACATTAAACAAAAATTCGTCAGTATAGGGTTGTGGAGGTCGTTGAGTTTTAATTGAAGTGATGGGCTGATCGATATTAGACCACCATTGAAATCCTGGAAGCACTAAACAGCCGTTTCGTCCTAGTATAGGACTCCTCAGTAGTGCTCATTCATGATCTCTCATTCTTATTAAGTGTATCTAGTGATGTTTATGGATATGGTTCGATGAACAATAATGAATGACATAATTCCAACTTATGAATGTTGAAACGAAATAAGTAGTTTCAATTTCTAAGTGCCGATTAAGATAACAATAGGGGGAATCAGTTGAGTGTTTAGCTACTAATAATTATGAAAATGTGAATACTCTCAGTTGATGAACAGTTATTTTTCCAACTGCAAGAATATTTGAAAAATAAGATAATGCTCGAATATCAACTTGGATTATTTTGATGGTATTATACTAACTGACAAATAACGTTTTGCGTGTAGTGTTGATCTCTGAATCTATCGCAATCAAATTATACAGTTTATGTCTAATTTGAGCGATTATATGCAACTGTTGTAAACCTTGGACCAAACTTTAATTTTAGTTGACAATTGTCAGCTAGTCGTGCCTGAAATTCTGAAGAAATTAATACTTTCAGTAGGATTTTAACTTGGGGTGGTCAGCTTCATAGTCGATAGTAGTGCCATTTAAGCACAAGTGACTTTCTGTACGATCAAGGTGTTTACATTTATCAATATGCAGAATGTAATATCAGCTTCGCTCCACAGTGCCGATAGATAGGTTTATCGGCTTACTGAAGAGTACTAACTAGCACGGAAGCTAGATCCAAGACTACCTGTCTTCAAACATATAATATCGAGATTGAGCGCAGAGTGATTATATTTCAATTTCATTTACAGAACTAGATTAGACAAGTAGTTTACCTCAATCTACCCAAAGAATAACTGCTATCTAACATTTTACCAACCTAATAACATACATATTATATAGAAGACAAGTTTCCTAAACTTTAAGGTCCATTCATTTACTGATCATTCCTTCCTTTCTATATTACTTACTTACTTACTTACGCCTGTTACTCCTCGTGAAGGAGCATAGGCCGCTCACCAGCATTCTCCATCCAACCCTGTCCTGGGCAATCCTTTCTAGCTCCGTCCAGTTGTAATTCATCCTTTTCATATTTGCTTCTATTATCCGACGTAATGTGTTCTTAGGCCTTCCTCTTTCCCGTTTCCCTTCAGGATTCCAAGTTAGGGTTTGCCTCGTGATGCAGTTTGACGATTTGCGTAATGTATGTCCTATCCATTTCCATCGTCTTTTCCTAATTTCTTCTTTGGCTGGAAGTTGGTTTGTTCTCTCCCACAGGAGGCTATTGCTGATGGTATCCGGCCAATGGATGTTGAGTATCTTGCGTAGACAGCTATTTATAAATACTTGTACTTTCTTGATTGTGGTTGTTGTAGTTCTCCAAGTTTCAGCTCCATACAGTAGAACTGCCTTGACATTCGTATTGAAGATTCTCACTTTGATATTGGTTGACAGTTGTTTTGAGTTCCATATGTTCTTCAGTTGTAGGAATGCTATCCTTGCTTTGCCAATCCTCGCCTTTACGTCTGCATCTGATCCTCCTTATTCATCGATGATGCTTCCCAGGTATGTGAAGGATTCTACATCTTCCAGAGTTTCGCCATCAAGAGTGATTGGATTGGTGTATTCCGTATTGTATTTGAGGACCTTGGCTTTCCCTTTGTATATGCTGAGGCCTACTGATGCAGAGACTGCTGCTACACTGGCTGTCTTTATCTGCATCTGTTCGTGTGTACGCGATAGGAGAGCTAGGTCATCTGCGAAGTCCAAATCGTCTAATTGATTCTGAACTGTCCATTGTATTCCGTGTTTTCCTTCAGATGTTGAGGTCTTCATAATCCAGTCGACCACCAGGAGAAAAAGGAAGGGAGAGAGTAAACAGCCTTGTCTGACTCCGGTCCTTACTTGGAATGCATCTGTCAGCTGTCCTCCATGCACTACTTTGCACTGTAGTCCGTCGTATGAGTTCCGGATTATATTGACAATCTTCTCAGGAATTCCGTAGTGTCGAAGAAGTTTCCATAACGTCCTCCTATCTACACTGTCGAATGCCTTTTCATAATCAATGAAGTTGATGTATAATGATGAGTTCCACTCAACTGATTGTTCGACGATGATCCGTAGTGTTGCAATTTGGTCTGTGCACGACCGATCCTTACGGAATCCAGCTTGTTGATCTCGAAGTTGGGCGTCTACTGCATCCTTCATCCGGTTCAGCAACACTCTGTTGAAGACTTTCCCTGGTATTGACAGTAGTGTAATGCCTCTGTAGTTTTCACATTTGCTCAGATCTCCTTTCTTTGGAATCTTGATGAGGTGTCCTTCTTTCCAGTCCATCGGCACTTGTTCCTCCTCCCAAATCTTTTTGAATAGAAGATAAAGCATGCTTGTGGTTGTTTCGATGTCTGATTTCAGTGCTTCAGCTGGTATGTTGTCGGGTCCTGCTGCTTTCCCGTTCTTGATTTGTCTGACGGCCATTCTAATTTCTTCCGTAGTTGGTGGATTGACATCTATAGGAAGATCTATGTGTGCTGCTTCGACGTCCGGTGGATTCATTGGAGCCGGCCTATTCAGGAGTTCCTCGAAGTATTCTACCCATCTGTTTCGCTGTTGTTGAATTTCGGTGATTGGCTTGCCTTCTTTGTCTTTGACCGGCCTCTCTGGTTTACTGTATTTCCCTGATAGTTTCTTCGTTGTATCGTAAAGCTGTTTCATATTTCCTTCTCTAGCAGCTTTTTCTGCCGTCGTTGCTATTTCTTCCACGTATTTCTTCTTGTCGGCTCTAATGCTCCTCTTCACTTGTTTGTTTGCTTCTATGTATTCAGCTTGTGCTTGGACTTTCTCTGCTCGTGTTCGGCTGTTGTTTATTGCTGCCTTCTTGTTCTTCCTTTCTTTGATCTTGTCCAGAGTTTCTATAGAGATCCATTCCTTATAATGGTGTTTCTTTAGACCGAGAACCTCTTGACACGTTGAAGTTAATGCTTCCTTGATGCCTTTCCAGTTGTCCTCCATAGTAGTTTCTTCTTCTTTCAGTAGATCTCGTAAGGCTTGGAACCTGTTGTTGAGAGCTATCTTGAATTCATTGAGTTTGACAGTATCTCGAAGGAAGGCTGTATTGAACCTTTGTATTGCTGTTTGTCCACCTGTCCAGTTCTTTTTTAGCTTCAGTTTCAAATTGGCTACAACTAGGTGGTGATCTGAAGCTACGTCAGCACCTCTCCTGGTTCTCACATCTTCCATTGTCCTTCGGAATTTTTTGTTGATGCAAATATGATCTATTTGGTTCTCTGTAGTGTGGTCCGGTGAGATCCATGTAGCCTTGTGTATACGCTTGTGTGGAAATATTGTGCCTCCTATGACCAATTTGTTGAATGCGCATAGATTTGCAAATCTTTCTCCATTTTCGTTTCTTTCTCCCAGTCCATGTCGTCCCATAATATCTTCATATCCAGTGTTGTCTATTCCGACTTTGGCATTTAGATCTCCCATTAGAATGGTGAGGTCCTTTCTTGGGCATTTCTCTATCACTGACTGCAGCCGCTCGTAGAATTGATCTTTAATGTCGTCGTTGCTATCATTGGTGGGTGCATAACATTGGATAATATTCATTAAGATCCCCTCCTTCTTTGTTTTGAATGATGCTTTGATGATTCTGGATCCGTGAGATTCCCATCCTACAAGTGCATTTCGTGCTACTTTGGACAGCATAAGACCGACTCCCTGAGTGTGTGGAGCATTGTCCTCTTCGTGACCGGAGTATAGCAGCATCTCTCCCGTAGCTAGCCTTTTCTGTTCAGCTTGGGTCCAGTGGGTTTCGCTGATTCCCAGTACTGCTAAGTTGTATCTCCTCATTTCCATTGATATTTG